ATTTCATAGCTTATATATCTATATATCTTGTCGTTTTAAAAAGGATTTGAAACTTTGAATAAAAATTTTTTAATACAATTTTAGCATTCAATTATTATTATTATTATTATTATTATTTTTTGCATAATTTTGTTTTTATATATCACTTTACAGTGAATCATTGTACACTTCAAGAGAGTACATTGGTTCACTGTAAGATAATTTTTTTTCATTTGTTTTAATGAAATAAAATTAAACTTATGATAAAATTATTGAAACATTTATTCGTATAGAAATGAACTATCTATTTTTCTTAAAATAAAAATTTTGAAAAGTGGTAATAGTAAATTATGAAGTAATGCCAAAGTAAATATTTAATATTATCTTGAAAAAATAAATACTGTAAATGCATTCTATAAATTTATATTTGATATTTTCAATACAAAATGCTTTTGAAACCATTTGTCATTTATATATTGTCAAAAGTAATAATACAGTCGATTCCATTTAATTGGGACACCGGTTAATCAGGCGGCTGCTTTATTGGGCAAATCTCAAAGAACAGAAACCAAACTAATAAATTAATACATAATTTAATTGCTTAATTTGGACAGTAGCAGAAAAGGAATTTAGCAATTTTTCATATATTTTAGGGAACTTCCGAAAATATGTAGTACAGTAATGTTGTGTAGGCCTAACAGTTGGCAGAGACAGTGATTTTGTCTTTCACTCAGGCAGTTCAGTTTATCCGGAGGGTGTTAGCATAGCGGGACATATCACATGGGGGACCCTGTCTGAGGCAGACCTGAATGTGAGCTACTGACCCTGCTCTGGATTGGACTGGATGATCTGCTTAAAAATGAAGGGACAAAGATATATGGACAATTTTTCAATTCTCTTGACTGAGTTGGAAGACTGCTAGAGTTCTTTTGGAAGGTATTGTGTGCATGATTACATCTAGATTCGGACAGCAGCCATCTGATTGTTGAGACTAGCATTCAGAGCTGGTGGATTCTATGGATGCTCCTGCCAAAGTGGCCCATCTCTGAGATGTGGTGAAGAAACTGTGCTCAAAGGAAGAGCATAAGGTGACTTTTGGACGAACCCTTTCCTTTCTCCCTTTTTAGTTAGAACTTGTTCAAACTAAAAAGGGAGAAAAGAAAAATTGTTTGATCAGGAACAAATCAAACAGTCAACCCTTGTGTACATCACTACTAATACTGTATTTGGCAACACTAGCGTGATGTGAATCAGTTATCTATCGTTGTGAGTCTGACAAATTTATAGTACAAATATTTTCTGTAATAAAGCATTAAAATAGGTATCTAATTATTATCTTTTACCTGCTTATTTATTTACCTACATATTACATAATAAATTCTGAAATAAAATATCAGTTTGTTTAATTGGGGCAGTCACTTAATCAGGCCAAAATGGATTAGTCCTGACATGTCCCAATTAAGTGGAATTGACTGTATATAAGCAAAAGATATGGTTTCAGAAAATTGATTTTAACTAAATACAACCTCACCATAAACTGGAACTGTAATATTTGCAAATCACACCTAAATTCAAAATTTCCAGCAAATAAAAGTCAAAAACACGTATCGAACGTTTTCGGCCACTAAATTTATTGGCCTTCCTCAGGAAATATCAACTGGAAAAACCGTTCTATAAATAGAACTTAGCTGCCTTTTAAATTTTTTAAAAAGAACGAAAACGGCTGTGACGTGTCGTGTACGACATATATTACGAGTCTAGATAGCGTTTCCATGCTGAAGATACAGGAATGACATCTGTGTTGATGCAGTTTCCACTCATGCTCGCCTTGTAGATCTCTACTGCTTCTAGAGAATCTTCATTGTCGTCCTTCGCGTTTTCCCACCGTTTTCTGCCTTCTCTCAAATGCGAAGGATGACAATAAAGACGCTCTGGCTCCTGGGATTTACCACATCCCCCTATATGACGAAAGGTTTGACAGATTACTAGCTTACATAGGATCCACGTACAGATCGCTGCAAGCCAGACTAAACGATCATAAATATGATGTGCTAAAAGGTAACATCAGTATGGCTTTAGCACGGTATGCCAGCGATCCGGGATTTCCCCCTGTTGGGACCAGGCCAAGCTAATACAAAATGTTTTCGACAGGCAAAATATAAAAATTGTAGAAGCAGTAGAGATCTACAAGGTGAGCATGAGTAGAAACTGCATCAACACAGATGTCATTCCTGTATCTTCAGCATGGAAACGCTATCTAGACTCGTAATATATGTCATACACGATACGTCACAGCCGTTTTCATTCTTTTTAAAAAAAATTTAAAAGTCAGCTAAGTTCTATTTATAGAACGGTTTTTCCAGTTGATATTTCCTGAGGAAGGCCGATAAATTTAGTGGCCGAAAACGTTCGATATGTGTTTTTAACTTTTATTTGCTGGAAATTTTGAATTTAGGTGTGATTTGCGAAAATTCATTTTTTAACACTTTCAACTGTAATTAAATTAAATTATAACATCATAGATACTAGAAATACTATACTTCATAAACTGATTCATGCGATTGTACAAAAAACTCTTCAAAATAAGCCTTTATCAGCATTAATTTTTATTATTTAAATGCTTTTGACTTTTTCATGTGGTCATCATCAGGATACTTTGAATAGAATAAAGACAGAATGTCCAGTTTAAATTATTAATTTTCCCTATATAATTTTTCTATTTACAATTGTCTTGTACATACAAAAATTATTCTTGCAGTTAGAATGATGATATTGATTTATGATATTTTAAGTGATTGAAAATATCTAAACTGAAAATTTTTTTATACTTTCATTTTGCCAAAAGACTTGAACCATTTATTTCATTTAGTAGTAAATGAAACAAATATTGATTTTTTTTTTTTTTTTTTTTTTTTTTTTTTTTTTNTTTTTTTTTTTTTTTTTTTTTTTTTTTTTTTTTTTTTTTTTTTTTTTTTTTTTTTTTTTTTTTTTTTTTTTTTTTTTTTTTTTTTTTTTTTTTTTTTTTTTTTTTTTTTTTTTTTTTGTAAATAAAATACATATTATATGTATTTTAACATATTTTACTAATTTTAAATTATCAAAAACAGATAGAATATAAACATTCTAAAGAACTTGCTTTTTTTAATTTTTAAAAACTTTTTAGGTTTAGTTAACTTGCAGAAAAAATTATATACAGCATGTATATAACTGGACTGATGATGTAAATAATCATAAATTGTATAATAATATTTTTAATCATTATCATATTTAATTTTTGACTCTTATAAAATTATGTAATTTTCTCTTAATTTTCAAATTTGTATATTTCTTCAAAAAAGAATGTTTTATGGATCTAAATAGCATGAATATAAATTGATATTCATTCTATTTAGATTCATAAAAGCAGTAATAAAAGAATATTGGCAAATGTTTTAAATGTATTTTTGTTTTTGATAGGCTACTAATTCTATTGTTTGAAACTACATATTATTATTTCATAGCTTTTTTTTATAATTTCTGTTTATTTATTATACAGTATAATTTTGTGGGCCGTATTTTGGGACCTCGTGGAATGACTGCTAAACAGTTGGAATTGGAAACTGGGTGCAAAATAATGGTGAGGGGTCGTGGCTCCATGAGAGATAAAAAGAAAGTAAGTTCAATAACTTAAATTGATTTTACTTAAATTACAGTATATATATATATAATGAATGAAGTAAAATTGACAGATTATAATTTTTGATTTAAAGCAAAAGATTTTTTAATATTTGCATAAAATAGAAACATGTTCTTAAATTTTCTTTATTTTTTATATTTTTAAATAATTGTGTAAAAAAAAATTGGAAATTTAATTCAGTTATAGATTGCAGTCATTAAGCAAATAGAAAATGTTAAGTAGTTAATCACATATTTTTTTATAAATGCAATGATTAAGAATCTAATTTCAACAAATTTTACAATTTTATGTAATGAAAATTACAAGAAATAGATAATTATTGTATTATTTGAAAGTGCAGGAAAATATCACTTGTATTTAGTAATATCACAACTCATAAAATTTACATATCAACAAATGCTTTTCAGTTTTAAAAAATATAGTTTAAATAAAAATTTAAATAACTATATTATTTATTTAAGGTTTCAGAATTAGTAGAAAAATCTTTTTTGGCTGTTTCTTAATAATTAACATAATCTTTCTAAAAGAAATGAAAGAATTTTGATATTAGGTATTCAACAGTAAAGTTATTAACTTAAAGTTTAATCAGAATATTATCAAATAATAAGATTAAATTTGTTTTGGTTCAAAAAGAATTTTAATGCAAATATAGGAATTTTTGATTTATTACAATAAGGTTATTTTTAAAAATAAATTTGATATCAGTTTTGGATGTGTAATTTAACCAAAACGAAACTTTAAAAAAAATTAAGGCTAATAACAGAGTAGTTTGTTTCTGTGTATTTTTAGCAGCACTGAAGATAGTAGTGTGAATTACCAAAAGAACCTAACATTAAAGAAAGATTTTAAAAAATATATATTTTTAGAGACAAGTTGAAATGCATTAAGAATATAGAAAAATAAAACAAATAGGTGAATTTTATAGTTTTTAATTGTAAAATTTCAATGAAAAATTTTTATATATTATTTGTGTGTTTTTAAAATGTGAAAAGTTAAATAATTAGTACAGTTAATTGACTAAAATTGAAAATAAATTGATTTTAAAGTATCTATATACTAGGCAGGCATTTCTAATTGATATCAGTATATTATTGGCTGATTATTAATAATCTTTAATAATTGATCATCCAAAAAATAATTGATAATCGGTTAGTATAATAGTTTAATAAATTTTTATATTTATTGAAAATAAATTAAAAATTTAGGTGTTTCAGAAAAAATTATCATAAATGAAAAATATTAGAATTATTTATCTCTTCATTAGTAAATTAAATTTCTGAATTAAAATGTTGAATTTGAAGTCACAAACACCAGATGAAATGGCATTGAAGAACAATAAAGTTGAATCTATGAAAGTTGACAGAATGTGGTGGTTTTCTTTACTTAATTTTAACAAAATAGTCTACAAGAAAGAATTTAAAATTTAATTACACATACTTATCTCTGTGTTTTATTATAAATTATGGTACTATCCAATATAAAGAAAGAAAATACTTTGTAAAATTGTGTTTATAGTATTTTAAAATAACCTTGTAGCTATAAAATGATTGAATAGAAAACTTTAAATTAAAATTTATAAAATTAAGTACTTATCTGATAAGTTACCAAAATTTTTTCTTAACTTATTAATCAATACAGTAATTATCCAGTTTACAATTAGAAAACTATATATATAAGATTTATGAATATTTAATTAAAAAACTGAGAAATATGAAACAGTTATTTGTAGATTATTAGGAATTATCAATGGCAATATTGAAATATTCATAGATGTTTTATAGATTTTATAATTAAATACTCCAAAAAATTTCTTCTAAATTGGATATCGTGAGAAAACTGTAATAATAAAGATTTCAGTTCAAATATAGTTTATGCTTATGAGGAATGTTATGTAGTTCTCTCTGACTTTATTGTTATGAATATTGTAAAACACCAAAGACCAAGTGATGTATGTTTTACTGTCAGCAGAAGAATGTTTTTAGGGGTGAAATCAACCTTCAAAGTTGGATTATCAAGCAGTGATTCTATAGTTTCATATAGTAACACTTATCCAATTTGAATAAAATCAATGTGAAAGTACAGTTGATCCTTTCAACCAACAGGTTCCACCAAGCATTTGGAAAAAAATTCCAGATTCCAAAAAAAACATAACTTGAGTTGTATTGATTGTATTTTAAATATATGTTTTATTCTATGTTTTTGTTTTAGGTCATTAAATGTAAACAATCTAAGTGGTAAAAGAAAAAAAAAATGTTGTTTACTGATAATGTGTAGTTGGACCTATGATGATTGTGTTTGTACTGGATGTGCAGACTTTTTTCCTTGTTATACCATATTGTCTAGAAACTAATAATTTCTTTACATAGCATTTACACTATACTAGGTATTATAAGTAATCTAAAAATGATTTTATAATATATGAGAAGATTTGTGTAGGTTATCTGCAAGTACTATATCATTTTAATTATGGACTTGAATGTCAAAATACAAAGATGCCAAAATCTTGGAACCTATCCCTGCAGTACAAAGAGACAATGTATTTCTTATAATGAGTAATCAAAAATGCATTTTTATGAATTTTAAGAGATTTATTGTTTAACATCATTATGATGCCTGTACTTAAAGTTAGGCAAAGAGAATCTATTTTGTTTAGATGTTCATGTAATAAAGTCTTTATTACAACCTGTTGTGAAGGAAAGGTGTGCAAAGTAGACTGTTTCTTCAGCCATCTTTTGTTTTCATTTCTGATTAGTTTGGTTAGGAAATTCTATTCAACACCTGTTTAACATTACATGAAGACATGTTGGGAGTGCAGCAGGTTTAAGCTAAATACACTGGGTATAACTATTTCTGGCAATGTAAAAGAAATTGCAGTCACACTTTAAACTTGATCAATGCCATTTAACATTATATCACTTGGTAGAAACATGTTTTGCAGATTCCATATTACAAATATATGATTGTGGCATTATCCGTTACTATAGTAATGGTTAGTAGGAAAACTCTGTTGATGATGATAACACTGTGCTTTAATTAATAAGCATAACATGAATTAACAAAATATAAAGAGTACTTTTGGCAATATACAAGCTTATCATCACACAAATCTAATACAGAATGGCAGAAAAAAAAAATTGAAATTATTAGAATAGAACAAAAAATTTTAAAAAATATAACATATTAATAATATAAATATTATAAGTAATACTGAATCAAATTATGACATAATCTGCATTACACGTAATATACATAAATAATAATGTAAATTAAAAATAATATTTACAATGCAAAATATTGGGATAAATATAAAAATAAAATAGGAAAAACTCAGAAAGGTAGTCAATAAGCAGAAGCTAAGACAGTACCTTGTGAAGTGACACCCAATGCTCAGGCAGTACAAATTTAGGGCTGTTACATGTTTGATTGTTCAAAATGCATAGTTTCCCCATATATAAATTTCTTGTCACCACAAGGATGACTTAGTGAATTTCATCCCAAAGGGGTTCAAAGGAGACAGTTGTTTCTCCTTCACAACAGTTTGTAATAAAGACTTGTTAGAGTTTTATGGGGAGGAGTCACTAATGTTGCAACCTTTCAAAACCTCTTAACTTTTTCAAAACTTCTCTCATTGTAAAATTTTTATGTAAAGTAGGTTAAAATTAAGTTTGTATTTTTGTCAAAAATTTGATGACTATGACATATGGCATTTGGCCATTTGAAGCTATTAAAATTACTTTTTTAACAATCAAAAATGTTGATAAAGATCAATAGTTGATGCCCATTATAACACAAATATTTAAAACTGTTTCTAGACTGAAGAACTACTACTAAATTTGATATATTTTTGGAAATGTAAAGTTTACACACTTCAAATTTCAAATCACAGTATTGATTTTGAGTATGAAAAGTAAATCTTCAGACATTTGTTCATATCAAATTAATTTGTTTTTTTTATACATGTATCTACTGCATTACATGATTTATAAATTTAATCAAACTATAATTAATTTTTCTTTTTGTGTGTATAATTATAAAGATTGACTGTTTAGTTTGTTTTACTTTGATATTGTAAATAAAATTAAACTGTGCTAGTGAAAAAATATTGCACTGGCATATAAAAAATATATACCTGCACATTGACACACACACTGTTTTTTATCTGTGGCTATAATGGAGTATTCAAAAACACTAGTTTAACCCATGTTGTCTTAGCCATTTTTTATGGTTATTTTGACAAAAAAAAATTTAGAATTAGCTAACACCAGAATGTATTTGAATATAAATTTCTGAAAAGAAATCAGCAATAATTAGTGATATGAAAAGAGAGATCTTGAAGTATGGAAATCATCTTAAAATAAGATCTTGCATTATAGCAACTTCCCATAATGCAAAATCTTATTTTATGTAGGAGGTTAATGCTCCTATTAGAAGCTTAATATAAAATACAAAATAAAAAAAAACAAAAGTTTGAGTTGGCCCATTTTTACTAATTCAGACTCCAACTTCTCTTGCAACAAATTTGCTTCAGATTCCATAGCCCTGGTATTGACTCATAAAAATTTCACTAGGTGTCAACAAAAATATATTTATTATAAAAAGTATTTTTATGCTGTTTTTATTCAAATTTGATAACGGTTTCTGAAATTGTAAAATCACTGCTTGATATGCCCATCCTTTGAGGTCTGATTTCATTCCCTACAAATATTTTTTTGCCAATATAAAAAAACTAAGACCTTTTCTTTTATCTATGTCATATATAAGAATCATCAGAATTGGAGAGGAACACTTGAGTAATGTTTCTTGTTGGTACATTATAACAATAATAAATTGATCTTTTTGCATTTCAATAGAGATAATAAAAAATTAAGATTTTTTTTCTCTACTATCAAAAAAATTTCAAACTATGTAAATTTTAATTTCATATTTGTTAAGTATATGTTATTTTTTTAGATAAATTACTAAATATAACACATTAT